GGAGCAACGCTCTCCAGCAGGCGGAGGGTCGGGTGATCACTTCCTTCTCCCCTCCCCCCCATGCTTTCTGGAACTCGTTTTACGTGCGATTAAAACAAGAAAGTTCTTAATTCCCTTTAAAAACAGCACTCCCCTGAGGGGGAATGCCGGCACGGAGTCCGCACTTCGCTGAGCGTTACTTCTGTTCGCTTTCAGGACCTGACTGGGATTTATTCATAAGCACGGCAGAAGTGCTTTAATTTATTTACTTATTCTTTGAACTAGAGAAAAGCCTAACCTAACATTTTGTCCGTCATATTTCAAACCAGGAAACCTTTTTTTTTTTTTTTTTTTTTTTTTTTTTTTCTGTAAAAGGGCTTGTGCCTCCTGTGTTCACACGGCTGTTTGCTGAGGGCCGCAGTCTTTGGGCATTGAAGGGTTGTGTTATCGTTCGATACTACGAAAATACTGCTACAGAATTGTTTAAAAAAGAGGAGATGGATTTACTATAGATTTGACACCTAAAAAAAGGAGACCAACAAGTCCATCAGTGGGAATATCTAATTGCAACACTTTCCGTGTTAAAACTAGGAATTCTTCGATACATTTGCATGTCGTATGTCAATTGGCGAACGTAAAACTGAACTGACCTACATACACATCATTTCTGCTTGCACATTTAAATTGTAGAATCGCTACTGTGAAGAAGCTGTGGAGGGAGACCAATCTTCCGCAACCAAGAATAATAATTTAGCCCAAAAATACCACTGATGAACCAGTCTTCTCTTTTTAGAATACACAATAGTACAAAAATATCGTGATGGATTATGTTAAGACTATATAAAGAATACAAAAATGCAAAAGAAAACAAAATAAAGTATAATAATGGGCATGTATTTGTGTGTGTATGTACATACACAAATGTGGCATTGACATGTGTTTAGATACCATTTCAGTTTACTTTTAATGTTTAAACAGGCTGTTTCATAAATGTTTGCAAGCAAAAAGAAAAATGTAAAGAAAATGTTAATTTCTTGGAGGAAGAGTTTGTTACCTAGGTTGACCGTTAGTTTAACTCGTCCTGCATCCAACTCTAAACGAAGGGTGTCTGCAGATTCCCTAGAAGTAGTTGCCATTAAAATGCCGTAAGCACGCTGAGACCTGAACCGTAAAGAAACATCTTCAGCCTCCGTATGCATCACAACAGGGAGTTGTATTTTCATAAACATACTTCCATCATAGCTTAAAATTGTTGCCTCTGAAAACATAAAGGAGAAAATCAGTTATTAAAGAATTATTTACTGTATTTACTGAAATTGCTCAGAGAGAAGAAGGTAAATGTATATTCACTCAGTACGATACCAAAAAATTACCTATTACATATCACAATTATTACTGGGAAACACAAGCAAAGTTGGGTTTGTTTTTTTTTTTTTTTTTGTCTTGGTTTGGTTTGTTTTTTTAAGCAGTGTATTTTGGTGCTTTTTAAAGAAACCAAATTGCTCTTTTAATGAAGCAGCTGTTCAGGTATGCATCTTCAAGCAGATGGATACAATCACATGTACAGAAATGCTTGCAGGACGAGGCCGGTACTACACAAGGTCAAAGCCAGTAGCAGCTAGTCAGGTACATCTTACAGCCTATTAAAAGGTCACGTCTGACAATCATCCACCTGGATAACTACCTTAGGATACTTCATGTATAAACCTATCAGAATTGCTACTACCGCAATTACAATTATCATCCAGTTAGCAAAAAGCCGCCTGAAATGGGTGAATCTCCCCAGCATGGTTTGGACGCAGCGCAGATTGCTTCATGACCAGAACCACTGCGGTACGATAGAATCAAAAACGCACGTACAAACATTATGACAGCCTCAACAAGAGGATCAAGACTGGACTTGGCATATTGAGGGTGAGATCTTAAAACCCCCAAGACAAGCAAATAACTGTCACTTTCAGACATTAAAGGAAACCCTCCCGGCAAGCGGATCTGGCACAGAGCGGTCACAGTCTGTTAGACCCCAGAGCAACCAGCCACAAGTCTTTTCCCAGCTTTCAGGCTGGTCACAAGAAAGGTAGCACGAAGACCGCATTTCTGCTCAGAGGGAGGCACGGCAGTTCCTAGAAAGCAAAGGACACGTCTGCTTCTGAAACGCATTAGGAAGTTCTTTTCTGCAGGACGATCAAGCATGGCGGCCAGTTCACCACCACAGCCTTTGGAACCGGCTCTTTGGCCCGTGGGCCGTGGCGCATCGTGGTGGAAGAAGCAGTGAGCGAGCAACATCTTTTAGCCCAAGCCAACAGCCAGCAGGGCAGGCCGCCAGGAATGTCGGTAGGCTCTGCAGCAACATACAAAACTAACCGTACTACATAACTAAAACCACTACCTGAATGGCAAACTATACTATATATATATACACACACACACTACATACTATCTGAATGTGCCCTGTTTTATGCACATCTGATGGTTTACCTGCCGCTAATTCACTAGGGACCTTCTAACTTGTTCCACGTCTCCTACGTTCTTTAACCCACCCAAAAACTCTCAATCCTAGAAACTGTTGAAGTGTTAGATGATGAGGTGTAAACAGGATGCTACAGGATCTTTCTTAGAAAAAGATGCAATCCTGACAGCACCTCAACTCACTGAAAAAAAAGTAATCAGTTACTTGCCCAATAACAGGCCAGATGAGCAACAAGCAGAAAGCAAAGACAGCAGAAAACACCTACAGGAAGCTTCTCCATGCTTCAGTTTGCCACAGTATAATGAAGACATTTATCTACAGCAAAGGTACATTGTGGTCCCACAAGCAATAATATTTTCAGGGACTGATACTACTGATACCACGTTCAATCAGCATCATAACTAAAACAGTATTAGCGTATTTTTTATATATACGTGCAACAGTTTGTCAAAGCCATTTCCATTGCAGACATATCTTGTATACTGTTGAAGATAGATAAGCTCTTCAAGACTTCCAGCCCACACGTACCACAGAAGAACAAAATATTCCACTAAGTGTGTGAGCATATTGGAGGAAAAAATGATAGAGTTGGCATGTTCATTAATAATGCCAGACTTCCCCAATGCAAATTTGAAGAAAGCAGTCTGATGTTGGAAAAAAAGGATTACTAATACTGGTGTGAAAGTCATTAGACATAACAGGTTAGGAAAATACATTTACAGGTTCCATGGTTTCTAACCATGCAGGTAATAATGTTTTCTGCATATTCTAAACCTAAAATTTTCCTGTGAGGCAGATTACATACTTAACTCTTACCAGCCTGATAAGAGATTTCAAGTCAAAGAGTTTTCAGTGGGAGGTGATTTGGTTTTTTGACTGTTTGGTTTTGGGTGGTTTTGCGCTTTTTTTTTTTTTTTTTTTTTTTTTTTGGGGGGGTGGGGGCCAAACAGAGGCTTACAATTCATTCCTATCTACAATTCATTCATACCTAGCTGTCTTGTCAGTGCCTGAAAAGCTCCCAAGACTTTTATCAAGGAAAACATGATTTAGGCACTTAAAGAAGTCTGGCATAAAAATCTAAGTTATGTGCTAATGTAAGAGAAAACAAACGGTATTTTATATTGTCTATTAAAAAAGACACATTAATACTCTTCAGGGTTTTCATAAACTGAGCAAAATCAGATGTTATAGGATGAACAGTGTTCAACAACACTAGAGGTCTGTTGCTAATAAATTATCTCATGATAATGTAAAAGAAAGTTGTCAGAAATTTGTTGTTTTAGAAAATTACAGAAAAAGCAGAGAAAGAACTGTCTTAATTTAATCAGAGATGACCCATCAGTATTTAACATCATGGTGAACAGACCTGATGTGATTAGATACTCAATCCTCCTAAACCATACTGTGCTAGTTATTTTGGAAACAGATGTTCCAAGAACAGACCAAGGAGACTGAATAGGAGATCAAATGACTTAAAAGCTCTGGGGCAATGAGAAAACCCCCTCGTGTCAACAAGCTCCTTTCAGTATGGGGAGCTCCCAGTCACAGGCTTTCTAAATACAACAATATCACAGAAAAAAGCAAACCACAAAACTGGCAGCAAGCAGGGATGAATTGATCAAAGAAGAATTAGCACTGCCCCGAGAGCCGTAGCTGAAGATCAGAGACACTACATATTCCTAAAATAAAAAATACAACTGCGTTCAGTTTACTCACTTGAAATTACTCTGCTGGTACAGAATTGTTAGGGAAAACTTTTGTTGTTAAACAATTATTAAACTATTGCTACATTAAGAAGGTTGAATGATACTTGGTCAATATTGTGCACCTCTCTAAGGATGGCAAGCTGTGTTTTGCCATGTGAATCATCTATCAACCCAGCATCTCTTCCACTTGATTCCGCACTGCTCTCAGCTCTGCAAATTTCCATTTTCTCTTGGCCTTGGCTGGACAGAAGGCATCTAGTAGTACGCGTATGAGACCTTCAACAGCACAAGAAGTTCCCTCTTCCCTTCTGGTGTCTTTCTTGTAATTCTTTGTGGCAATGCCTTATTACTCTATCATTATGCTTGGTGACATACATTAACAGAGCACTTTGTTTTTCAGACAGTAGGCAAAAATAGCCTTCAAGATGAAATGAGAAGGGCTTGTTTTGACTTTCACAGAATCGTTAAGGATGGAAAAGACCTTTAAGATCTTCAAGTCCAACCATCAACCCAACACCACCGTGCCCACTAGTTTCTTAGAACTAGGGGTTGTTCCAGTTGTTTAATGGAATTGTTTCCATCCTGCAGTTACTTCAGTTGTCCAGAATGGATTGTTAATTTGCAAGGACTGGTCAATAAGATGGTGATCTGAATGAGGAGAGGTAGTGGGGGTTACACCAGTTATTCAAACCTTGAAGGAACATTTTTCCTAAAAGTATGTATTAATTTTTGCCTTTAACTTTTACTTTTTTTGCTTTGGACCAACTGATTCCAAAGGGGTATGTGTGTCATCTTTCTTTCAGATCTACACTGCTAACTGTTCTCACATAAGTGTTGGCGGAATGTCTTTTTTCACTTGTTCAGCTTCCTCTTAATTATTAGATTAAACGCTAATAGACCGTAAGTTTAGCTCAGAATGTGCTATTCATTAAAAGAATCAGAGTCTCCACGGCAGGGAATAATTATTTTACCACCACTTCAGTGTTTGGAAGCATAGCATTGAAAAGAAAAATAGCAGAAAACCCTTATAAAACATTACTGACAATTTTTTGTGAGAGCAAATAAGTGCATGCAGTAGAGTTATTAACGAGAAATAAACAGTAAGTACAATTCAGAGATTGATAAAAACTATTTTATACAATCTGTCTTCAATATTTTTATAAACCTGACAGTTAAAAAACCTTGCTGCTACTGTGCTGAAAACCAACCAACCAAATGAACCAAAAACCCAAAAACCACTGAAGGGTTCAGTATCCCTCTCCATTTTTTTCTTCAGTTTGTTTCTGATTAAAATCTCCAGGGCTGGATACTCTTCCTTCCTATAAATATACTACCTCAATCAACTCTGCACCTATCACCAAGGATGCACAGACTAGTACTGATATGAGAGGAGATTCAGGACCTTAATTTTCACTGGGGCTGGCATTACCTAAATTGCTGAAGATACTGAGGCACCTACTCTTCTAGAAGCTTTCCTATGCCTGTTTCTACCCTCAAAAATGCTCAGCCAGATATTTATGGGGAGAAACAGAATTTTCTGAATAGATGCTGTTCTTCAATTCACAGCTTATTTTAATTAAAGTGAAATAAGTACAGACTAGGCATTTGAATTTCAGTGTTTTTCCTCATGAATTTCGCAGTCAAGTTTGTGTTGTTTTTAAGAACATGGTGCTTCGTAAGCATGGATGCTTACTGCATGTGTTTTAATAAATAAAACAGGATCTTGTTTCCTCTGGACCCCTTGTGGTGCCTCTGAAGTCCTGAAGACAGACTCATAATTTTTTCCTGCTTTTTCAGTTTCCAAGTGTCTGCAATAGTATGAAGACTGTGTTATAGCCTGCCGAGCTATTTTTAAAGCATGAAATCACCTTCTGTGGCTGCTGTCTCCCAAATCACACACAAGCTTTGCCCAGAGCATGACAGACGATACAGTCCAGAGCCATGCCAGAAGGTATGTGAACACTCTAGATCAGCAGTAACCAAGTATTCACATTTGCTCTCTGACCCTGTTTTATTTACCAGTATAAGTAGACCACATATACTGCCCTGAAAACACTCATTGATATATATGATATTACTCCTATAAATTGTGTGACTATTCAAGTATATTGATGGCTACTGATTCTAATTCAAACTTTCAGTGTGTTTTCTATGGCAGCTACTACAGTCCATCTGGGCCCAAAGCTGCAGCCTTAGTGAATCACAATCTGATGGAAACAATTCTTGATATGCAATTAGTTACTAGATAACACGTGAACAGAAGTTGAAATGATTCCTCACAACTGTTACGCTGGCATTATTTCCCGACTGAGGGCCTCAGCTACACAGTAAAGGTGTTACAACTTTAACACATAGGACCAATTAGTTAATTTAAGCCAGAGATGAAATTACTATAATATTATGAACACATGATTCTTCATACGGTCTTATCATCATACCACCTGTATTTTTCTTTTTTTTTAATTTTAAAGAATCCAGAGACAATGCAAGGAATGAAAGCTGCATTTCTTTCTCTAGTATATACATGTGTATGCAGGTGTGTGTGCATGCACAATGCAGACATCTACACACACATTCTCTAATTTAAATATATTTCCTCCTCAGAAATGTCACTTTGATAAATCTCTCTTTGCATGTCTACGTTTTCTTATCACTGTTTGATGAATTTACTCTTGTGCATCTTGCTCCTAGCCATCCAGTCAAAAGTATACACCTGCAAAAGGCTTTGCTGAGAGGCAGTCACATATTGTGATCCACAATCAAAGATAGGAAGCCAAATTATATTGCTGTGACATCTGTCTGTCCATCTGCTTGTAGTTTCCATAATCTACTGAAGCCAATCTACAGATTATACTGATGTTTAACCTTACCGAAAATCAAGAACAAAATCAAGAATAACTTGCAACAGCGTAAAAAGCACATGGATATAAAATATTATTATTTTTAAGTATACTGAAATTAAAATAGAGCTGAGTTGTGTTCCATGTTTTTATGCACTGATAAACTGACCAAAATTATTTTGAATACTGCACTGTACACATTATACCCGCATATGGATGTTAATAGTCCTATTTTAGGGAAAATAGCATGAAAAATAAATGACAGTACTAAAAAGTGTTTACGTGTTTTTGTTTACTGAAGATACTTTAATCACTTAACATTAATTTAAATATTCCAGTTTAATCTCCAATATTTTATTCTAATGCGTTCTTTTCTTTGTGAAACTGTGTTGTTCATTGAAATGAACATATTCCTATTTTATTTAAATTAGTTTGAACAATTAGAATTGTGCTGCTTATATCACCAAACACAAAAGTTTATCAGTTACTGCACATGAGTAGTAGCTATCATAACTGTGTGGTAGGATGCAACACGTCGTTTTCAGAATCCCAGATAATCCCATATCCCAAATAATAATAATCTTATTAATGCATGACTATTTGGGATAAGAATATTACTGGAAGGAGATCTCCCTTCAGTGTAGTTTCCTCTGGAGAGAGAAACCCAGGAGCAAGAAACGATCCCATACAGTCTGAACTGCCACACATAGTTCTGTTGGACAAAAGACAAATACAAACAAAATGTTGTAGAGAAGCCAACACCACCACCATAGTACCACCGTTCCCGCTAGGGGAATGCACTGGGAAAATCAAGCTCTATACTGGAAGACGGATGAAAATAATTATGGGAAATACAAAAGACAAAGGTTTCTATATAAAGTATTACCACCTGTCAAATATATTTATAAGAAATTGCTATGATGAAGCCTGCTTTTAAGTTCTTTGCAGATCGTCATGTGTTTCTGTCTCTAACGCACATGTTTCCTGGCTCTCAAGTTGAAAAATGCAAATCCTATTTTTACTTCTGCCATATGTAATAGCAGAATTTTGCCACAGGGTGGTACACCAGACATGTATAACTGAAGGCTTTTGTAATGCATCAGACAGCTCGGTTATGCCCTCTGCCAGCTTCGCTCCACCAGTAACAGAACAATCTGGAGATCACATAATAACTGGCCATGAGCCAAAGGCATATATATTCAACAATAAGACAGAAAAGCCAGAAGAAATGGAGAATCTACTTGCAAATGCTAATAATATGATGGTATTAATTCTACATGAAGGCACATGTCTATGTGCATATAACTTAAGCATTCATTCTGCTTTTATTTTTAAAGAAAACATTTTTGTTTCATCTTATTAACTAAAAAAATTAGTCAAACTACATGGAAAGAACTTACATTCCCAGTCAATAAACTTTACGTTTAGATTTTGGCTTGAAGAGAAGCTGTACTGTGTCATTTGTCAGACAAAAATATATAAATTCTGTCACTGAAACATTTCCTATTAGAATGACAATAAACACCTAAAATATTAACCGAGCTTTTTTATTGTTTTCCTACTTACATTAAAATCTTTTATTAGCATACTCTGGAATTTTAAATAAATTACAGAGTTTTCTTTTTACAAACTAACCTCAGCATCTGCCTTCCTTGCCACTATCCACCTTTTCAATTAAATAAATAGGGTTTGTCAACTTTACATTTACCTTTTCTAGGCAAGAGGAATACTCAGTGATTTAAAGTAAGTAGAAATTGTTTCCTTGGGTACTACGATCTTTAAAAAAAGTGAAGTAAGAAATATAGATTCTACACTGATTCTTTTGCTTTGATTCATGTCTAACATTCTGGCCATGGATGTAAGTGATACTATGGAAGCCAAAAGTAAATTTAATTACGCAGTGGTATTGACATAAATAAGCTGAGAACAAGACATCAGTTTGGAACTGGAATGTGACCCTTTAGTAATGCAATAATAATTGAAATTACTTCCATAAAGCTTTTCAGAACTCAGCAATATACGATAAGACACAAAAGGGGACATTTTGTAAGAAAGATTTAGCAGTACTGACTCTCTGTCATAGTCAACTAACACTTCTTCGTGCATCTTAAACTCCCCTAAGATCTTTCCTCTAGAGTTACTTCTTTCAGTCTAAAGCAGGGCTCTATCGCTAAGTGAAGTTAGATTCTTTTTCTGCCTCAGAAGAGCTAATGATATTTTACCATTTTTAATCATTGTGCGGGATGCTATGAAGTAGAAATGCATGGAACCTACCTCTTTCGCACGATCTGCCAAGGTACCCTGTACCAGAGCAATCGCAAACATATCTGTTCCACCCATCCCTGCATACACCATTGTTTTTACAGGGGTTGCTAAGGCAAGGTTTTGCAGTTTCTCTTGAGCACGAGGGTTTTACTCCAGCGGTACTTTGAATTTCAGCCATCTGTCGAATATCTTTGCTTTGACCATCAATAAATAAATCTCTAATGCAGCCGACGTATCCATAATTGAGAAGTGCTGTCCACACCTCTGTTGGGAAGACGAGGCCTGCTTTATTTTCTGGTAAGCCTCCAAGATACAAGTCATCATCCAAATCAAGGATTTCACTTTCCCCTGGTGCAGTATATGGTGTACGTAATGTGTTCACAGATATGGTCCCTGAGAAGACAAGACAACAAAATACATGATTTTCAAGACACAGAAAAGATTTTGGTACGGCTGTTTTACTCGTTAATCCTCATGCCACATTAGGTCCTGGCAAACATCTATAAATAAAACACAGGTAAGGTATTCTATTTGTACATCCATACAATAATAGATACACTTCATTATTTTAATTACAATGCAGTACAAATACTGCCAGGAACTAAACAATGTAAAAACATTTATGCACAATACTGCATGGTCACAACATTAGAAAAAGTCAAAATCACCTTACCAGTCTTGTAGGGGTAGGGGGGTGCATTTCAGAGTTATTTTTAGAAATATCCTTGTTGCTTGTGCAACAAAAAAACTTCTTCGCTCCCTCATACGTTCTTCAAAGCATTAAGGCTGAGGTTGCATTGATAGGTTGCAACCTGGGAGGCACATCTGTGTCCTTTGGTTTGGATCCAAAGACACAGTATTTTAAAAGACTCTCACCGCTTTCAAGGGGCTTTGGATGAGACTTTTTTTCTTTAAGTGCAGAAGGAAAAGCAGCTGCCAGACAGGCAATCATTAAGAAGATAGTGATGTGCTCCTAGAGGGAAAATCAATGCCTCTGACACTTACCTTGAAATGTGTGCATGTTACTAAGAGAGGCAGAGAGGATGTATATAGAACCTCAGGAAATCAGAAGTATCTTTTCCATTTAAGTTTAAAAAGTAAACAAAATCAAGCCTAAAATAAAGTTCTGTTTCTACAAAGTGTCTGAACAAAGAAACTATGATCAGCTGTAAAGACCCTCTTTGTTGTACTTTTTAGAAGTAATGAGGTATTCAATTTTTGCAATTTGAATAGGCCGAAAACCAAATTTAGTACGTGGAGTCACAGAACATACTTAGGTCAACTCAATTTATTTACTAAGTAAAATCACTTGAAAAAAGAATCTTCATGTAGACCTTCACCGAAGTGACTCCTTACCATTCTATATGGGTGAAAGAGCAAATAAAATATAAATCAAAGTATTAGATAGGTCACCAGATTGTTATAAGGTAGCAGCCACATTATGCAACACTATATCTGCTGGACACACTATTAAAAGTGTATTAATAGCGACAAGACACTGAAGAATCACATTTACCACAATGTATTTATCATATATATATATACACACATAAACTAACATGATTCACTATTTCCACTGTCAGCATGACACAGATTCCAGAAGATAACAATGATTATCAAAAATACTTCTACTGTCATGGGAGTGGTGCATGAGAGTAAGAAATTCAGAATTTTTATAGCATACACACTAAAATGTGAGTTTTAAGCAGGTCAGAAAATGATCATTCTCTTATGTAGGATACATCCTAAAATTTAGGCTTCTCTTTTAGCAGTGGAGTCCTGTGGGAGCTACATATTTTTTTTGTTCTTTTGTTGGTTCAATAGATTAATTTCAACAGCGTGGACAGAATGAATATCTAAACAGTTTAGACCTTTAGCAAAGGCTCTTTGGGGTAGAAGTCTCAGGAGGTCCAACTCCCATGTGACACTTGAGATGTATGGATTTCAGAAGGGCTGGGTACCACTACAAACAGTCTCCCTGCTATCAGAAAAGATCTAAAAAGATAAAACAAAACATTGCATAGTGTTTGTGCATCTTTATGAGCATGTTTAAAGAATGTTTGAGGATGTGGTCAGTTTTCCCTTTTATGTATTATCAGAAATGTTTTCTGTGTCAGTTGAATAATCACATAGATGTAAAGTGAACTTTCAGTCTTAACTGTAAGAAACAGGTGTGTTGAACCAAGATCCTTTTTCTTCCAAACCTCCACCTTTTTAAAACTGATAAGACTATTATATTTTGCTAATGCTACATATCTGTATTGCTGCTCAGATTCTTGAAGCAAAACTTGGCACTCATATGGAACACTTGCTATAGATTCAACCTTAGGCATACAAGCATAAACATTTTGAGGTTTGATTTTATTAACCAGTTGCCTCAAAGATACCTGTGAATGACCTGTTAAACAAAGAGAGCTAACTTTTCCGAGAGCATCCTAGGTATCAAGGAAGGACCGCTTACTTGCTATTGTTGCTTGCTCCCATCTGTTGTTGTACAGGCTAATTTAGGACTAAATGCTTTAAACCTATGTTCAGGCAGCACCCGCACCCATACCAGTTAACTCAGCTGCAGCGTCCAACCTCAAGCTCATGCATTTGCACTGTGCTGTTTTCTGCTGGACAAAGACATTTTTGTTTTTGAGCTATCCATGATGCTAGAAGACATCTGGGCTCCATTTCTATTAAAAAAAAAATAAATCTACTAAGTCTTAATGGCTTTCAATGCACAGGAAAAGACAGGTAAATCTCAGGCAGTGTAGCTGCAACATTAACGTGGTGTTCCAAATGGAAGTTTTGCGAGCACAGAAGGTTGAGAAAGGTGAACAATAAAGGGAACTGTAGATCACCACTACATTCTGGTGATTGAATTATAGTTAGGTGATAGATTTAAGCAGGAAAGTTTTCTTCTGTACGTCATAAAAGATTACCCTGGAGAGTGGAGAGAGCTTAAATATTATTTTGAATAGATAACAACAGCTTCTTAAAGAAATGAACCTTTCCCCTCCCCAAGAAGTGACACCACATAAAATAATCCTTGGGAGAAGCCCTCTGAAATCTTAGTGTAATCATAGCATCTAATGACTATGGGTAGAAAAACATAATAGGCAACAACTCTTCTGTGCATCTTTTTCATGTTTTGGAAGGCCATGGAACCACTATTATCCAGCTGGACTACCTCCAATTTACTACTGGACATATCCATAACACTTCAACTGACGTACATACATGTGTGTATTACCCTTAAACAAACAACTGTAAATTAGCTTTATTTAATCCTTTTTGTTGAGAGCTACACTAAGTCACATAGCACCTGCAGAAGACTCAAAGCTTTAATAACTCATTCGGGCTCATCTGTTATGTAGGAGCTTGACCAAAATATCATATAGCACATGTTCTAGAACAAGAACTATGGCTATAATACAAATAGGCTTTAGTCTAGCTAATAACAGAAAAACCATGCCTGGGCACCAAGAGTTTCATGCTTTCGGTTACCAAGTTATCGTAGTTTCTGTCTGAACTTCTAACAGCACATCCAGGCAGCCATACAACCATTACTGCTGCTGGTATCCAAATTACTTTTATATATATTTGACAGGTAATACAACCTTTACTTACTAATTGCTTTGTAAATGCAGGTGAAAATATCAAAGAAAAATAAGGGGAAACAAGAGACAACTTCCAAAAACCATCAGAATTTATGTTTTTTAAAAAATATTCTAATATAAAAATGCATAACAAGTTCATACAACATGTGTCTATTGAAAATAAATAATGGGTCTATAAACACCTTTGCATTCACAGTGCATCCAGAGCTGTTACACAGAGGTAGAGTATGCTGTTTCATCTAACCGGGATTTTTTGTTTTGGTTTTGTTTGGTTGGTGGGAGTTTTTTTGGGGGGTGTGGTTTTTTTTTTTTAGCCTGTCATCTTTCTTGAGGGATAGTTTTCAAGTTCTGCTGAAACTATCTGAAGTTAGACCTCATGACAATGGCAGATGCTACCACAGAATCCAAGGATAGTAACGCACATGCCCTTTGCTGGATTTCAACCCTACATTCACTGGGAATTACAGGCAGATTAAAAGGAATTGTTCTGTGAAATCACCAGTGTGCTCCAATCCATTTGGATGTTTTTACTTACGAATGTGAAGAGACATCACTTTCCAGAGAAGCAGAGAGAAGAGAAGTTAATAGAGCATACAAATGTCTTATGTGGCCAGCACAGGAAAAGGTTAATAATTTGCCCTGTAAAGATAATGTAACATCAACCCTTTGCATGCCAGAATTGTCAAGTTGGATAAGAGGGAAAAGAACAGGACACATCTTGTTTTACAAAATAACCTCAAGACAACAGAATACGATGAGGAAATAGCAGAATCAGGAGGGCATTGGCCTTTCAATGGAATGAGAAAACTATAAGCTTAAACTGTAACATTTGTAGTAAGAACCAGCCTTTCAGTTATATCTTTGCATAATACTTAGCATAACAGCACTCGTAACCAGATCAGTAGTTATATTATTTCTTTGAAAAGAGCAACACTGAGGCAATAACATCTGCCAGGAAACAAGCAGCTTCCTTGTGAAATTTTTTAATACTCAAAGTAGGAAATATTTTCTGTATTTCTGCCAGAAAAATAAAGAAATGGGAAAAAGCAAGAAATGGGAAAAAGCTGATAGCATTTGGTTTGTCCAACCTGAAAGAAGAAAAAGGGAAAGAATGAAAGACAAGAAGGTGTGAGGTGATTTATTTAGTCTGGGAATTCATGATCTACCTTCAGACTCTAAAAACAGGTAGCATTTCTTGTCTCCAGAAACTGGACATAAATTTAAGGGTCCTATAATGACCTATGGGTGCTCTGATTCTACAGCATTTCACCTGAGAGCAAAGTGAAATTTAAACATTCAAAAACATCTTTATGTATTGGAGGAACAGTTTGAGAAAAACTAATGAAATTATGATTTTTTGGCAAGACTTATTGACTAGAAGGATAACTGATTAGGAGGCAGTTCTTCAAAGGAAAAGTCAACAACGTAAGTCAACAATAACATACATATGAGCAAAACAGGAAATATATTGGGAAGTATAGAGAAGCCTCTTGTACCACTTTACTAAGCATTGGTAAGGTCTACCTTGAACTCCGAGAAAGACGCAGATCAGCTGAGGAGACTGCAGAAGATGGCAATAAAAATGGTCAATAGCTATGGAACATGACATATAAGAATACGCAGTAGCTGGGGCTTCCTAGTCTATGAAGAAAACTGGAGACTGACATAACAGCATTCAAATAATAAAAAGTATAGAGCTATGAAGGAAAAAAGCGTGGTATACTTTGTGCCTGCTGTGAACAAGGAAATTACAGACAAAATGGCCTGTTTTGTATACCGAAATATTCAGTTTATGAATGATTGCATGGGGAGGTTGTACAGTGTCCACTGCTGGAGATAACTCAACAAACGTCTGTCAAGACTGACACAAGTACATTATCACTTCTTTCATTGGAGGGGTAAAATAGAGGACCTCTCAAGGTTACCCCATCTCAATTTTTCTATGAGCTCAGGAATAAATGAAAAACACTAACATGATCATTGGAAGAATTTTCTTTAAAATGCAGTATAAACCCATTTTCTCAAATATGTAAACTATTAACATTTGTTGGAATAGGAACATGTAAATCTGGCAGTTCTTAAAACGTTGGAAAGATGGGAGAAGGAGTATATAGAAGCATACATGCAAAAAAAGAACCTCCAACAACAATGCATGTGATGTATATCAACAAAGCACTACTTACAGTGAGATGCTGGTTATAGGTAAGCTCTAATTACATACTCTAGAGATAATTTCTGGTATTTAAACTGAAACTCTAACTTTAGTTCAAAATTTCAGTGACTTCTTAGCCCTTTAATGCTACCTATCTATGAATACATTCTGTTTTACACTGCCATACACAACTGGAGGTTGACAAGAAGCATAAGTTCTTCTCTAATTTCACCATGTAATGATGATTTCCAAAGGATGAATGGTGGTTTAGTAAAAAAACACTTGCAAAGTTATCCTTGAATATGGTAAACAGTTGAACAAAATTTAAAACAATACTCAAGTCTCAGAAAACAGTTATGAAACCTAACTCTACTGTGTTACAAGAAAGACTGTGAGCAAAGACTTCTACAGCTGCTTCATGGTAGGTTTTTTTTTTAGTTTGGGTTTGTTTGGTTTTTTCCTAATTCTTTTACTGCAGAGTCGGCAGTACTGTTAAGAGCAGAACAGACAAACATTTCCCTTAGGTATGAGTTAATGAGGCTTTCCAAGCATATTCATTATCTCAGCAATTTACTTTTTCATAAGTCTGTGTACAAGAAACTAAGACATATTTCTAAACCTTGTCTCAGTTCTGATCAATTAAATATGAATATTGTAAGTACAGCTACTACAACTATTCTGATCTCTATGTTTACCTTATGTGGCCTATTTAGTTGCTTTTTGTGCATGTGAAACACATTTGCTTATTAAGAAACGGTGAAAAATCAGAGCAAGGTATTCTAAATACACTTTACATGTTGTGTGCTAAAGCATAATATAATAGCTGTGATGAGGACTGTGGCCACAGCACACAGCCCATGGCCAAGACAGGGCACATGTGAAGCAGCTATGAAGCTACTGTCCTTTGCAGGAATTCAGGATATCCACAAATACTGGAAGGGAACTCAGCTCCCATGACAGGACACAGCAGTTGGTACCAGGTTGTGTCCTCTGCTGTATACTTAGCAAAAAAACCACGCTGCTGGAGAACGTGTGTTCCCTTTACTCTGCTGCATACCTAACAAGAAAGATGGACCAATGGAGAAGGTGTGAAATCTTTCTTTACTTAACACTGGGAAATAAGGTCTCAGGAGTTCCTTCTCACCATAGATCTGCTTTTTAAGTAAGGAAGCTCTCAGAGTAGGTCTTACAAGCAGCAGGATGGGATTCTAGGGTGAAAAGTTTCTATAAGAATAATAGGTCAAAAGTTCCTTCAACAAAAGGAAATTAAAGGGCATCATCTCTTCCTTCTTCCTTGTATCCCCCAAAATGTGAGGGGGTCAGCAGAATTACTAGTGAATAGGGCCTGGATAAGTACAATTCAAAAATGTGCTCTCATTCCTCACATGTCCCCACCACAGTCCCAGATAGGCAATGGCAAAGTCAGTAGTTTAGAGTGAATACTCCCTGTGACTGAGAGTCTGGAAAAGAGCAAAGAACGAAAAATAAATTGAGTACTTGCTGATCCAGCTAATATGAAAGTCAAGGAAATTAGCAAAGCTCCTTGAGAAATGTCACAGCTTTCTATTATCTGAGGAACCACTCTGCGCTGGATTTGAAGGCTAGGAGTAAAAGGTTGCAAGACACCAAACTTCACTTAAAAAAAAATAAATTGCATGTTACTTCAACTATTTATTAACAGGAGAATCTCTTCCTTTATACTTGATGGGTTGGGAAGTATTTTGTCAGCAGCAGCAAGAAAGTCTCAGAAAAGCCAAGTCTTTTGTATACAAAGCATATTCATTCATTCATACAAAAATTCTGCAGGTAAGCAAATGGAAAGTGATCATATTCATATGATTTCCAGTATGTTTGGTTTTGGCTAGAGAAAATAAATGAAAAATCTTCTTGGAATAGTAAAATGTATTTTATTATTCATGGAAGAAAGCATAATAGACCAACAAGCATAAGTAATGAAGAAATAATCTGAACATAACACATCAGTACTTCCTGTGCCAATCAGAAGAAAATAGGAACATACAGTTCATTGTTTATTGCAATTGTTTAGACAGTCATTTTACTTGGTTAAATCTGACGGTCTAAGATACTACTCAGCCAATATTGTCATTAAGAAAAATAACAGCACTGCCACTGTTATTGGTACCTCTCCTACTGTGAAGTATTATATTTAATACATACATATATAATGTATGTATTAAAATCACAGAAAATCTTTGATGTCTTGTTCAGATTACGGCTAAAAATTCAGTTTGTCAATCCATATGCCTACATATTTATTAACTATTCCTGATAATAGTTCAACGTTTTAGGGTGAAGAGATACAATGGTCAGTTTTCAAGAGTGACAGAGTAAATAAATTTCACCTGTCTTGATCATAGGTGATTCATCAGCTAGATTAAGTTTTCTTTTACATATGTATTTGACTATTTATAATTCTACTTAAAAATAATATGCAGTCCTGATCGCCAGGTGTGTATTGTTTCCTAAAATTAGTCTACATTCTTGCTAATGTCCATCAACAGTTTTAAAGAATTAAACAAAGTATGCTCTAAACTCTCGTAATGGCACTTGTGTGCTATGGTTTTTGTGAAGTAATGAAAGTGCAAAACGTATTTTCAAATGTAAACAATTGCTATGCATTTATTTCTTTTCTTTATGGTTGTGTTGACTTTGGATGTGAGTTTACTTTGCTTTCAGTGGAGTCCCACAGGCATGATTATTACAGGATTTACTGCCTCACATGAATCACTGTAACAGCATGTAAGAAGGAAGCCTGAAATGAAGATTGTAGTATAAATAATATAACTGCTGGATATTCAATCACAATTGAGAACGTTGAGAAGTTGTGTGCTTTGTTGTTTGGGGGTTTTGTTTGTTTGTTTGTGTTTTTTACCCTTAAGAAATGTGAATAAGCAACTGACACATTATAATCAGAAAATCAAACTCTCTACATCTAGAATATGCAGCAGCACAGCCCAGAAATTACGTTTTTCGTATCCTAGGGTGGTCTGATCAATTGAATTTCGTCTGACTTTCAGCACGGATTTGACTGAATCTTCAATTTAAACCTGCACCTAAGATTCACTTGATCTGAAATCTGATTTGTGGGTAGTAAGAAAGTCAGTCATAAAACAGTAACTTTTTGGGGGCAAATTTTCAGAAAGAAATTATAAATGCAAGTCATGGAAAAGGAGTCACCAGAAGGAAGAAAGTGGGGAAAACCCCACAAAATCCAAAAGAAGAGGAGTTCACATTTTTCAACGCTCTATTTCAGAGTGTACATGAAGTCCAGATTGGATAGTGATATTAATTGGAAAATTTTTTGATGGAATGAATTACAGACTCAGTACATTTCCCCCTCCACCCCCAGATCCTGGCATGAACTACAGGAAAGATACTATAAAATAGATTTGTCCTTCAATTAATGGCTATTGATTATTTACTGAAGTCAAGGTATATACTCAAGATCAGATGCAGCCGAAGCACAAGGAGAGTTTCACTAGCTAAGTGCATTTTAGGCTATAACAGATTTCAGTAGCATTAGAAAAAGTTTAGGAATTCTTTATTTTTACACTTTTCAGTGACATCATTTGTCGAGTAAACTGCTACAGAATACGAATCATACTGACAGAATACAGCAAGTCACTTATTTCCATTTCTGCTGATGTGTGTTGTTAGCCATTCATTAGCATATCACTTAACTATGCTGAGATCTGCTGACATGATTGGAAGGTTGGTGCTGTTTCTGTGGGCCAACTATTCCCTACGTTGGATATTACTTTCAGTAATTCTTTTTTGCTTTATTTTTATTCTTGAAACTTGCCACTTCAGCTATTTGGTGCAAGCAAGCACAGAAGGAGATTACTGTTTGTTTTTGAAGTACACAGCACACTTACTTGCTAGATTAAGTACCTGATTACCCAATAAATGTTAACATAAGATATTTTACTCTGCAAATCATTGTATTCTGGTAGCTGACAGTTATGACTTCTTATGACAGTTATTTCCCTTATCTTTCAGATGATGCACAGCTTTAATGGTGGCAACATAATATATACCCAGTATTCTCTCAGATACAACATGAAAAACCATACTGAATATTTTGAAAAGCTTACCTGACCGTCCATCCCGTTGAAAATCCACGTGGTACCATTCACCGTCATTCACCTTCTTCTGCAAGGCTTTTATTTTTATAGTACCTGATCCCATGTCTAACAGCAGGTAGAGGTGGCCATCAAGCATCTCAATGGCAAAAAAGTCAACCTTCACCATCTGTGGGTGTTTGGCGTCTTTTTGGTGCCTTGGTTTTCCATGACTGAAAAGAATCAGGCCGTTTGGCTCAGTTGTACGAAAGTCAAATGATATTGAGCCTGTTTTCTTGGCATTCCACTTTGGCAAAGAGATGAAAGACTCTGGTGTTTCAAATGTGATTGGATCTAAGGTTGCAACATTCTCACATTTAAATGCTACAACCCCATGAATCTTCATTTTAGGATCTCCTTGCTTGGCAAGTCGAGATAACTCCAACCTGACATCGTTATTTTTATACACAACCTGCAAGCAAAGCAGAAAAGTTACTAAGAGGAACTTGACCATTTTAACCAAACAGATATAATCCTGAATAGGCATATTATTTAAAGGATCATAATGATGGTATATGAATATGATAATTTACATACATATAAAATTAAATAACTATTTTCATTGACTAATGATTTAATAATACTTTTCATTAAACCAAAGTTGCTCTAAAAATATCCCTAGCGTTAATTCAAACAATCTGAAAGAATCTGCACATAATTTATACTATCAGTCGCAAATTAGCTTGCATGGCCTTGATTGCTTAAAAGTCCTCTTTCCGCAGCCATTCTGCTACGTTAGAGAAGTATTAGATTCCTTCTTTATCTAAGCCCTTTGTCACTGTCTTAACCCTTCTGTTCATGTACAGAAAATATACCAAGGTCAGGTACTTCATAATTTGACATCTTTTCAGTTTGTCCTTGGGGCTAAGGAATAGTAGCATCCATGGTATTCACGAAGCTATAGGGAAACTAGTATTATACAGATCAAAACAGACAAAACCAGGACATTCTTTGAGCCAGTTCAGTTGAACAAAAGATAAAACCACTTACGTATTTTCCCTTACTGAAGACCTTTCTGATAAAAATGAAAGACAATATTAGTTTTAAATCCAATTGACCTCCACAGCAAATATTCTTGCTTCAAATCACATATTTAATCTGCCCAGGGAAGCCTGTCATGGTATCACCATTTCCCAGGGTTCTAGTCTTTATTAGCATATTCTGTAATTGCTGCTATTTCTGTGTTGTCCAGGATACAAAGACTGCTTAAAATAAGCTCCCCAATAGCAAAGGTGTGCACAAGTATTTTGTCAATACTTTTAATTATTCAATAAATTATATACTGAAGCTAAAATAGCACTGAAGGACTGCATAGGAATGCATGGCGATAGAAGCTAAAACCGTCTCTGTTTCTCAGGTTAAGCCTACGTTAGAAAGCAACTTGGGAGCAAAAGCAACAGCTCAGCAGATCAAAGCACTCTGTGCTGAGGCTTCTTCATCTAGAGATTCTATACCAATCAGGACTAGATCATGTCTGGCCCCTGGACCAGTGTTCCAAATATACCATGTAGTCTGAAGCTGTTCAGGGGACCAATCACTGGCTTAGACCTCACATCCTTATTAGAGGTTGGAAAGTGCTTGATGAGTAATTAGTGTAGAGCTTTTGGGTTAATTTCCTCTGAAGCCCAGCTTGAACACAGATGAATCCTATTCTGCAAACTGAACTGACACACAGTTAAGCGGAAGAGACGGGGGATGCACTGCATAACTATGCTACTGTTAGAAACCAAAACACTAGCATGGCACGCAATCCAGATGGCATGCTGCACAAGTGATAGTTGCTATTGAAAAATGGCGTTTGAAGGTAACAGAACACTAAATAGATGATTGATAGATCAGCAATTTTTTACTCTAAGAATTGTGTTCTTTCAAATTGTATCATTATCCACCCAGCAAATCTCATCATAAACCATGGCAGCTTATGCATGCCATTGCATTATTCTACTACATTAAAAATGTGTCCTACAAGTTAATAAGAAGCCTGTTCCTTCATTTTATTTCAGGGTTCAGTACAAATACTGCTGTTCCCACTGCAGCTGTGTCTCCAAAGACAACAAATAAACCTCAGTGTGGACTCCTGACAGCAGAAATGATACTCTGCCAGTAGGGAGGTAACGTGTGTTGCCGCCTTTAAGTGAAGACATCAGAAGTGACTAGAATTGGACTAATTTGTAATCCTGGAGAATAAGAATCCATATTTGCATTTATCAAACACCTCTAACACCTCAGAGATAGCAGATTATGCAAAGAAATTTAGAAGAGTACCAGAGAACAAGACATGCAAGCTCTCTCCAGTTGGGGTGACTTTCTGTCTTTAGAGTGCAGAAAGCCAAAATGCAGAAGAATGCAGCAAGAAGCCTGCAGCCTGGCAGGCAATATTACTTAGAGATACCCAGTCTCATGAAACACTGGCTACTTTCTATGGCAAGAGGGATTTATGGCCATTTTCTATGGCAAGGTGGATAGCTCCACCTCATTTGAAGGGCTTACAGGGGTCAACCTTTCTAAAATAGAATGAAAAGCATTAAACAGACTAGAGGATATGGTAAAAAGAAGGAACAAATGGGCTTTCATTAGAATTAAATCATGCTGTTCACAATGAAAGTAATTAAGGCAACAAAGAACATGAGGAGAAAATATTCTTTAATTGCCTACTGAACAAAGGTAGATACCAGGACAATACAAATACATGTGCAAAGACAATTTCTTGTTTATGGACAAATTTAAATTGTCTGATACTAATGAAAGCTGGTTGACTGAGTAATAAAATTAGTAGTTAATAGCTATGTTAGAAAAACCGAGCAGACAAAAGGAGAGCTAAGCTTTCCTTGATGTCTAGAAGGGCTCTATAGGCTTTGAAGTCATTTGTCAAATCAGAAACAATAGTTTTTAATAAATATCGTTCAAGGATCTGATGGACAAAGTGCAGGAATACTGGCAATAGCTTTCTGAATAACTTATCATCAGCTCTTTGAGTAGCTTAATATATAACATGAAGGAAAAATTGCTAGAGTACGTTAATAAGAGTGGCAAACATTGGGAATTTTATGCTACCAATATTCAAACATTCTTGGAATCCCTAAATATCGCATATAACAATTTCTTACTTCCATATTGCATAATTAAAACTTTGGAGTTATAGAGATGTGAATGATTGCATTTTATTGCGTTCCTTTGTGGAAACAGAATAAAGTCTATGTTTATGTTTTACAGTACTTACGTTCTAGGTTTTAGAATGTTGATATTCTTTTAATTTCACAAAATTGAAAATTTGGAACTCAATTATCATGGATAATTCGTATTAAACCAGGAATATATGAACCATAACTGAAAACTATAATTAAAAAGAACTGTAAACTATCAACTGAACAGAGATAGTTGGAAGCCTGTTTCCTGGTGTTTTGCTGAGATTCTTGCCCCTCTCCCCATCTCCCTGTCCATGAAAGGTGTACTCAGCCATCAGTGAAGCACAGCAAAAAAAGAAAAGCAGTACGTTCACAAAAAGTAGTAGTCACTGAATTTCAGGAAAAGAACTGAGCAGTAAGGAATAATTCTGAGACTAATACCTGCTTTGTAACTCATGGAGGAGGTATATGCTTCAGGATCTATAGCCTCTAGAGTACAAATAAATTTAGTTTGTAAATTTACTCATTCATTATTTTCCAAATATTCCGCTTTTAATTTTATGTTACCCAGAAAGAAAAAAAAAAAAAAAAAAAAGACAAGCATTCTTTTAATATTACCCACTGCTATTTCCATCTAAAAGACCCTACATATTGTTCTTTAATGTTAACTCAATACATTCTCCCTCAAATAGAGACCTGGATCCACAATTAGTCAAGTGAAGGTAATTTGCAACGGAGAAATATTTGAATCACATTCACCTTTACTCCTACACAACCTACCAGACAGTATCCTTGCACTGCCACGTGCTTTCCTAGCACATGTACTGGGCTGGCCTTGGCGACAGGTTGCTTGCTCTCTCACTCACCCTCATACCTAAGCAACAACAATATAATTTTCCTGTGCATGAAACTGCCAGATCTCAGGGAATTATATCGTGCTATTATGAGCACCTTGAGTTTGTCTTCCATTCACTGTATTTTTTCCGCTTAATATTAAGTAAGGTTCAAGACCTCAGTCTTTAAATTATCTAATTATCTCATTCTTGGAAACTGCAAAGGTCACCTAAACTCCCAAGAAAAAGGGAGCAGTTAGCAATTTCCCACGTAACTTGCAACAGAGCTATCCAAAGGAACAAATTTGTTTTCCAAGAGAGAAAGGGCAGACATACATACCAAGTTACAATCCAGATATGAACTCCCTTTGCAACCATCTAGGCCAACCACATGCTGGGTGACTTATAATATCACAGTGCTGAGTCTTAACAAATAAGTCCAGCTAAGAGACAGCAAATGTTAACTTAAGCTCAGCATTCTCTTTAACGTGGTCTGTGGTCATCTCGGAGCGCAAGCAAAATTAATTCATGCTTTCCAAAGATATATCATGTATATAATTTATTGCAAGCCAGGGCCCTGGTATGCAATGAACTCCAGAGACATATTAAGAATTCACTACAGATCTTGTCACTCATAGTTGCAAGTTCCTTCAACAACAAAGAATGTAGTGGAGCAGCCAATGAATATGTATTAATACATCAGCAATGTATACATGTGTGAATGACTTTGAGAAAGTTGACGGAGAAGACAAGGAATTTGCTGTTGATATTAGAGATGTATCCTAAAAATACAACAGTTCAAATATCAAATTAAAAAGTCAATATAATAAAAACATTAGTATCAACAAAACCCTACCAGTTCCTTCTACTGACCCTGTCCCATGAAATTTAAAACCACAAAAGAGGTGAAAGAATCCAGATTTACATATCATTTTCAATTCAAAGTGCAGCCCTTTCCACATTAAAGATTCCACTGTTAAATATTTCAAAATACTGACCGACTCTGCTAGCAGTAGCCTTTCAATCACTGTGATTAAAAGCCTTTAAATTAGTATGAAGCATTTCTTCCAAATAATTTTATGTTATTAAAACAAATATGTTCCTTAAGGAGTTAATCACATCACCTAATTTGTTGCTTCTGGGTTTCCTTGAGAATCAAAGAGAAACCAGCAGTTCAGGGCACCTACGTTATGATCTTGCTCTGAAGAGCTTGTCTATTTACTTAATAGAGATGTGAGGAAAAATAATTTTCTAAATGCAATTTGAATGAATGGATGAATCCAGCCTCTAAATCTGTTTAAAAAAAATTAATCACATAAATCATTATGTTACCATAAAGCAGTATTTTCATATTTTCATGAAAACTGGATCACCTGGTACAAACAATGGCAGTTAATTCTCTAAAATGGAGACTAGTATTATCCAAAATGGCTCGGGTAGGTGCTGCTAACCTA